TTTTTTTCTAAAAACTAAATAGTTAGTACTAACCAGCATTTAGCATGTTAACTACACCTTCCTTTGATCTGATTCTTGGTACTATACAAATGTAGCAAACAAAACTCCGCCTAAATCATCTACCTGAGCTACAAATCTTTTCTAGAACAGGGCAGCCGTTTATTAATGTTGTTTTATATTAGATTGGATAACGTTTAGAAAACTTGGAATCGCGAAAACCCCTATTGTTTTATTCCTGTTATTTCGCATTGATATTCCCTCAATTATTTAAACAATGGAATGGATTGCATGATATCTATCAGTGCAAGTAAAACTGAAACCATGTATTTTAGTCAATTCTTTTTACACCTGAATATTTTAAGGCATTTTTTTATAAAAGATTGTTTCTATCTAGTGTATAACTACATTTCTACATCTAATTTCGTTTCACAGAACGACAGTGAAATAATGCAATTTCCGTCACATATATATAATCCGACATCAAATAGTCACTTCTTTTATAATTAAGTTAAATTTTGTCACTTACATTACAAGTTTTCAAAACAGTAGCATTGAGAACTCTAGTAATACATTGAAACACTTTTCAGCTAAGGAATGGAAATATACATTCATCCGTAATTAATAATAATAATAATAATAATAATAATAATAGTCACGGTAACACTTGTTTTGAAGTTATTACGAAAACAAACAAACTATCATTGGGTTATCAGCAAATTACTCAACTAAGCAGATCTTTTTAAACTGTACATATTTAAAATTTGACCGGAAAATAAGGAAAAAAATGTTACGAAAACTGTTGAATTATTCAATTGAAGAAACTATAACATTGATACAACAAACTTTTTTAAAATATATAACAACTTGATTATATTTAATTCTTTGTTTAGTAATGTGAAGTTTACATTAATAGATAATAATATCTATAAATAGAATCATAGCGACTGGTACTTCCGCTTAAAGTCTACGATAGGAATACTATGTAGTAAGGAAAAAATGATTTCTCAAAATACTACCAATAAATGGGATAATAATATAAGGAAATTTAAATGAAAACAAATATTTACGTTGGTAAACAACAACAACTATTGAAAATACTTCGGCAGAACAAGTGACAAATCTAAATTTAGTTTAGCTTAATTAACCAAGAATGAGATCCGAGTTTAATTACTGTTATTTTTGATGGATATAAAAAAAAATTATTCAGTTAAAAGCTCACTTACTTGTAAAACGATCGATCTGTTGCAAAGATGTGCTCAACTTTAATTCAGAAACGTTGAAATATGCTCCCATACTAATATATCGAATCAGATATATACATCCGAACATAATTCAAAAATGAATAAATGAGAATTTATAATTAGATCAAATCCTAACATAAAAATCTAAGTTTTCTAAGGTCACTGATACTTTTCCCTAAGATAGATGTGTGATCTATTTTGTTTAGCATTTTAGATACCCTATATTTTAGTCTTAATTCAGGAAATATATTTAATCTACTAACCAAATATATGGGAAACTAATTAAAAAATTTATTTTCAAGGATTTAATAACAAACTTGTAGCATACATTCTAACTAAATGATATATACTTACTTATGCATGTTCGCCTCGTGGAGGATCATAGGTCGCCCAATAGCATTCACCATTCAACTCTGTCCTGGACAATCCTGCTATTCATCCTAATCATGTCTGCTTCCGATTCCCGACGTAGTGTGCTCTTTGGTCTTCCTCTTTTTTGTTCCCCTTCAGGATTCTACGTTAGCACTTGCCTTGTGATTAACTTTGGTGATTTCCGCAATGTATGTCCTATCCATTTCCACCATCGTTTCCTCATTTCCTCCTCAGTTCAAAGCTAGTTTGTCCTCTCCATAGTAAGCTGCTGCTGATGATATCCGGTCGATGGATGTTGAGTATCTTGCGTAGACAGCTATTTGTAAGTACTTGTACCATCTTGATGATGGTTGTATTAGTTCCCCAAGTTTCAGCTCCGTAAAGTAGAACTCTCTTTACGTTTGTATCGAAGATTGTGACCTTGATATTCGTTGGCAGTTGTTTCGAACTCCATGTTCTTCAACCGTAAGAATGCGGCTCTTGTTTTTCCACTCCTTGACTTGACGTCTGCAATGGATCCCTCTGTTAATTGATAATGCTGAGTGAAAGTCCCCACATCTTCCAAAGCTTCTCCGTCAAGTGTGATTGATTTGGTGTTCTCTGCGTTGTAGTAGAGCATTTTCCCTTGTATATGTTGAGGCCTACTGATGCGTAGGCTTCTGCTACACCGTTTGTCATGACCTGCATTTGTTTGTGGTAATGGGATTGAACGACCAGATGATGTGTTCAAATCGTCTAGTTGCATTCATCCTGTCCATTATATTCCGTGCTTCCTTTCAGGTGTCGAGATCTTCATAATCCAGTCGACCACCGGAAGAGGAAGGGAGAGAGTAGAGTGACTCGTATGACTCCGGTTCATGCTTGGAATGCATTTGTCAGTTGTCCCCCATGCACTACTTTGCACTATAGTCCGTCTTGTAAATTCTGTATGATGCTGACGATCTTCAGGTACACTATAGTGTCGAGGTTTCCATAATGTTCTCCTATTTTCACTGTCAAACGCCTTCTTATAGTCAATGAAGTTGAAGTACCGTGACGAGTCCCACTCAACTGATTGTTCAATGATGACCTGCAGCGACGCGACTTGGTCTATATACGACCCATCCTTACGGCATCCAGCCTATTGAAGTGGGGGCATGCACTGAATCTTTCATCCGGTCCAACAACACTTCCGAAAACTTTTCCTGGTACTGACAGTAGTGCAGTGCCTCTGTAGTTCTCACATTTACTCAGATCTTTCTTTGTCGTCTTTCCAGTTCATTAGCACATATTCTTCATCCCAAATCTCCCTCAACAGAATGTGGAGCATGATTGCCATTACTCATACGTTAGGCATCAGTGCTTCAGCTGGTATGTTGTCAGATCTTGCTGCTTTCCGACTCCTGATTTGTCTGATGGTCATTCTGATTTCTTCGATCGTTGGTGGAGTGACATCCATAGGAAGGTCTCTGTGTGCTGCTTCGATGGCCTGAGACCAGTCTATTCACAAGCTCCTCGAAGTATTCTACCTATCTGTCGCTCTGTTCTTGGATCTCAGTGATTGGCTTCCTTTCTTTCCCTTGACTGGTTTCTTTGGTTTACCATATTACTCTGCTAGTTTCTTCGTTTTGTCATATAGTTGTTTCATATTTCCTTCTCTTGCAACTTTTTCCACCGTCGCTACTAGGTCTTCCATGTACTTCTGCTTGTCGGCTCGGATGGTTCTCTTCATTTACTTGTTTGCTTCAGCGTATTCAGTTTGTACCTTGACTTTCTCCGCTCTGGTTGATCGCTGTCTTCTTGTTATTCCTTTCTTGAATCCTGTCCAGGGTTCTCGCATCCTAAATTGTCCTTCTGAATTTTTATTCATAAAAATATGACCTACCTGGGTCTCCGTGGTGTGATACTGTGAGACCCATATAGCTTTGTGTATAAGTTTTTGTGGGAATATTGTGCCATCTATAACCAATTTGTTGAATGCACATAGGTTTGAAATTCTCTTCCCCAGTTCATGTCGTCCCATGATATAGTCATATCCGGTGTTGTCTATTCCGACTTAAGCGCTTAAATCTGCCATCAGGATGGTCAGGTCCTTTCCTGAGCACTTCACTATGATCAATTGCAACCTCTTGTAGAACTGATCTTTATCGTCGTTGTTGCTATCAGTAGTGGGTGCATAACATTCATTGTAGTCCCTTCCTTCTGCTTTGATGATTCCGGATCCGTGAGATCCCCATCCTACAAATGCATTACTTGCTTCTTTGGACAGCATCAGAGCAACTCCCTGAGTGTGTGCAGCATTGTTTTCTTCGTGACCGGAGTACAGCAGCATCTGTCCCGTACCTAACCTTTGCTGCCCAGCTTGGGTCCAATGGGTTTCGCTGATTCTGAGTACTGCCAAGTTGTATCTCTTCATTTGACTGGTCCTCCAAGTCTACTACTTTATCCGGACGTCCCGTCTAGAAATTGTTGCTCTGGTAGTTAGAAGGGGCTTCGGCCTCATGACTTCCGAAGAATATCGGCTTTCATCATGAGGCTTCATTATTCTTCCCTTAACTCTCACGGCAGAGCCAATTAAGTAATATCAACATAAAATGAAGGTTGGTGACCTACGGTTTATATTTCTATGTTGCATAATCATCATTAAATGTTATCGGTAGCGTGACTGCCTCACTTTCCGTATGGTGGAACTCCGAGGTAATTCCTGAAGTTTTAGCGAGGAAATGTGATCAGGAAGGGAGGTTACTTTCCAATTCAGTATGATTTTTTATTAGTCTAAAAGTCCAAACTAAAGCTTGAAAAATATCATCTACATCCAAACTTATATGTAGTTGGCAAATGTTTTCGTAACATAACCTGGATGTGGTTTAACCATAGACTGGGAAAGACGAGATTGAAAGTCATAAATCTCTTTCTAAGGGTATGATATAAGATAGCTAGAATATGAACTACTTAGTCTCCTGATATTTTGCTTAGGAGGAATAAAATGTTTATAATAACCTGGCCATTCATTCATTAACCATTACTCACCTATGTGTCAGTGCAATTTTAGATGATTACTTATATGAAAAAACACAAGATTTTACCACGGTTAAAATGCTCATAAATGTTTATTTGAAAACGTGATGATAATTGATGCAAATAAATCAAATTTCAAAAAAGCAATACATAAGGAGTCACATAACATACTCTCGACTTTTATGTCATGAATCTATCGAGGAACACCCTATACGATGTGAATTTTGCGGTCGATCAAAATGATTCAGACACATGTAATTAGTAATTTACTTTTTCCTTGAAAGTGTCTTATTAATTGTATTTCCACTTTTTTCTGATACATACTGAATCTCTGTTACGCAATACCAAGTTTTATCACCATGTAGTTAATAAACAAGTTTAGACTGATATATTAACTGAATAAATAACGATTGATACGAAATTCTAGCCATCATAAGATAATTAACTCGCATAAATTTCTTTTGTATAAATCAAAAATACAATACAAATAAAGAATATTCATAATGGAACCGATAATAAATATTGTAAAACAGCATAGGCAATTTGATACATAAGAGAATCTTCAGAAGATTATCACAATAAGCTCTTTATTATCGGTTTCGCTTATCATGCTGAAATTGACTCCAAACCGAATACATTCATTTGATCGATCCAACCCCTGTTGAAACAATCCTCAGAAAATTTTTCATGTACCCACTGGATGGCATTTTTCCGTATGGCATCGATTTGTGATTCAGACATTTTCAGCAATACCAATTCGAAAATATTTGCGTATTCATCAACTGTAGACGCAAGGAATCCAACACCTGAATTTTCTAACTGATTGGAAGATGAACTAGTTTCTGAGGGTCCAATTATATCAGTAAGTGGACCACCGGATCTGTGAGCAATTGTAATAAGACCTGATGCCATGCCTTCCACAACACCTGTTGAAAATAATACATAAAACAACAGACTATACTTTGAAGAAATAATGCATGAAAAATGACTGACATCAAGGTGTAAAACTGATGTTGAGGAATAAACAGAGATCATATAACGTCCGGATGCTAAAATAGAATAACTAACTAAATGTGAAAGAATTTCATTTTCGCTTAACACAATACACATGGGGAATTGCATAACACGTTTCAATACTCTATACACAATTATTAGCGATAGTTAGCAATATATGCAGTGAACTGAAGTGTCATCTCGAAGATTATCAAGTGTACTTTTATAGTTGCTATGAATGACAGCCGGAAAAGTGACAGAAAACTTAATGAACTAGCAGTGACTTTTACTAGATCTAGCAAAGCACAGATCGATCCACTATTATGGTAATGAACTCCATCATTAAAACAGTACATAATGATAAGGTACAAAAAACTAATTTATTTACTCTTCAAAGGACATGAGCACAGACACAATGATCTGACAAATCATTTTATAACCGTATAATTATCTTTGTGATAGGTACTCAAATAATAATCAACTTACAGCATGTCATATATGTGAGTCAGCCCACGGTTTTAGAAAGCTCAGCTGGCTTTTTGCCAAACTTAGTCATTTGGTATGTGAAATCTTCATCTGCCACTTAAAAATCCAGTCTACTGAGCAGCGGCTCATCCTGCCTTACTTTATGGCTGTGAAACATGACAATTAAGAACGGAAGATATTCAGAGGCTAGTAGTATTTGAACATGCCTTCGAATAATTTTTTGCGTATATCAGGACAACTGAGTGAGCAATGATGAGGTAAGTATAGAGTATTGGGTAAATGTAGAAAATTGGTTGGTCTGATAATGAATCTTTATCAACCAAGGCGGTAAGGACATGTATTGCGTATCCCCAACTACCGCCCACCTCCATGGGTTATGATGGCTGGTGTAGGGGGTGGGTCGCAAGAGCACTACGGGTGACCAGACTAAATCGTGGGATCAGTCTATGAAGACGTCAACAATTGAACTGGACCTTGTAAATTACACACTGCCTAGTGGGGGTTTACGCGATTATCGTAAATAATTGTTAGACTCTAAGTGAAGTGACTCAGAATCAATTGCAATGGCACAGGAGTATCCACCGTGTCCCCTTAGGTCATCAATCCCGGAATCCCCTACACGTTTGATCTCTTTTCATACCTATTCTTTTCTGTTACTACTGACACTGTGATTACTTTGACCACTCTGAGATTTGTAAGAATAATTTTACTTAGCTGTGTTAATGTTATGTGTTAACTTGAACCGATACATGTACGTACCAGGTTCCATGTTGCATATGACTGACTGAATCGTAATGCCCAACTAAGTAATAATCACAAAACCAAAAGCATATCCGCGTATATACATTTAGCAATTACTTAAAATCGAGATTTCAAGCAACCGTTTCATATAACCCTATAACTTTTTGGAATCAGAGTTGCGGCTTAGTGATTGTAGCACTAGACTTCACATACAACTTAATGAAACAAAACTCTGCATAAACCTGTGTGTTGTATTGAGTTACCCCAATTAACCAACACACTCACAACTCTTAGTTGGATAGTAACCAGGATTCTGAGGCTTCAAGGATAGTATGCTAACTTTTTTAATATACAGAACAGGCTCTGATAGTTAATATTTTAAAATCCGACTGGGACGTTCTGAATTTTCCACAGATGTGTTTAGTGGTGCCTTTTCTGATGCGCAATTTTATTTAGCTCAGACTGGCGTACTATACAATATTTCTAAAGTCAACTTTAAATTACTTACTTATTCCGAAATGTTCATCTACCATAGTGTGCAAATTAACAGAACAACGTCCAAAATAGCTTTTTAACTCCTGATAGGGTAAATTAATGTGGAATTCTACAGTATCTCCAAGTTCCAGTGTAGCAGCCTGGTCTTTAAGTTTTGAGACAAGGGCAAAATCCTTGTCATCCCGACAGCCACCTATTAAAAGAAGCTTGAACTGGTGTTTTTCATCGCTTTTTGCTGACTTGTGACGGCTAAGAAAGTGATGGAAAGCGTCTAACTGAAGCTAAATATTGGAAATAAAATTTTTCAGGACTTTTTAATTATATTATTCAATAGTGACTATAGGAAATTCTATAACTGTTCAATACAAGCCCAATAAACTTTATACTAATTGCGCGATCCTATAAAATAAGGCCTAAGTAATAATACGACTATAGCCTATAAATATTTACTTACTGTGAAACAAGGCCAAAATCGAGATAAGGATGTAAATCTACTTCACGTGTCCAGAATAGGTGTTTCTATATTATTTTTAAGGGAAGTTATCTAGTTGGCAAAATATACGTAACAATTTAGTTTGGCCAACCGTGAAAATGTGAATAATGGACTCAGAATACAGACCTTTGACGGTCTTCTATTGTATTGTTTACACACAAGATGGCTCTCCTAAATGACAGAAATCTATATTATATTATATTCTTATTTAAACTGAACCGCTAAAAAACAATATCCTTGTTTTTATTCCCTTTTAGTCCTGATTCCTCCTTGTCTCTTTTTTCTCTTCCCAAATTTATTTCACTGGATTATACTCCTTGAATAACATCTCCAAACCCTAATCTTTCCGATCACTGCTTATACTCTTACTACCTCTACCACTACGGGATTTGAATCAACAACTGCATCTCTGTGCTAATGTGGTATGGCAACTCGTACTGATGTACGTACGTACAAAGTTCTAAGTTGTTACTGACTGACTGATTCCCTTATAGTGAGTAAATGATACTGTCTCCTCACCCGTGTGGTGCGTTTCATGGTATACTAATGTACCAAGTATTTTTCTAAATTGTAAAAAAATTACAATGGTAATAAATGATCACTCGTAACTGAAATAGATCTATACGTTATTTGATGTTTAAGGACTCTGAAGCTCGAGAACGACATTGATATACTAACTGCATGAGTGAATCTTATGAATGAGTAAGTACGCCTGATTTGAATGTTTGACTATCCATGATCTACTTGGTGAACACCCGAGGATTCCAAGGCTAATAAACTCATAGGTTTACACAAAGCGTTGAGCTTACAAAAGAAACATATCAGCTGTATTTCTCATTATAGTTGTTTTTAATTATTTAAATAAGTGGTTTTATAAGATTTAACTTCACATGGTACATTATCGGACGCGACCACAAGTGATCAGGAAGAGTTTAGTAGTTTGGTTTACTCGACTTTTTGATCGATGAAATTTAGGATTTAAGAATCAGAAAATATAACTGTTCTAGATTTTGGTTGGGAATGAATACTTGCTATTTAGATAGGGTTTTACTGAACTGGAAACTAAAGAATGTTTAGTTTAGTGATACATTTGAAAATGCTAACGTTGAGTATTTGAGTAACGGAAATATTAAACATTACATAGACCAATAACAGCAAATAAGACACAGTGCTGAGTATCTCAGATTACATGAAGCAGATTTCGGTTCAGCATTAACAGTTAGAGTACTACATGAGTACATATCTAATAATTACTGTGATCAGGAAATACTTTACAAAATGCCATAAATTGAACTGTCTAGAAGTAATATATCTCAATAAAAAAAGAAGCAAACCTCGTGATTTTTTTCCGGTCTAAACTGACCGACAGATAAAATCCACTTAAGTCTTTGATCACTGACTAATTTCCCTTCCAAATCCTCGACGGGACAAGGAGGATAGAGCACAACAGGTTTTCCACCCCACAATGACTGAATATGCTTTTGAGTCCAAGATGAATTCGTCATTGCAACATCGACATTTATGCTTGAACCAGAGAATTTATAAGCTTTGATAAAAAGGTTGTAGTATAAGAATTTTATGCTGGAAAAGATCTTATTATTTCTAACCCAATCAGGATTATTATAAGTTAAAACTATTTCATTTTTATTTTTTGAGAACAGTGAGGACGATACACGTTGCAACATAACAGACGATATAGTTGGATAATGTACGTAAGCCGCTGTCTGTGAATTACATAACCATTTGGCTAGAGGTATAGTAAAAGCGAATCCGGTAGTGTCAATATATACATCCGGTGGGCATCTAAAGATAGCTTCCAATCCAACTAGAACTGAACCAAAAGCCTGACCAGCTAGTGTGAATAAACGATATAGCTTCGGAGTTAGTAATATCTCTGATTTCAGCGGTACAAAATGTATAGCAGAATTGGAAGGTTTGTTGAAATATATTCCAAATATTCTTCGGATGTTACTGAGGACTTTATCAGGATTTGAAAGGCACTCTGCATCATTGGTATAAATAACAATTACTATGTTTTTATATCTACATTAACAAAATGTCATATTTTAATCAATAAAGAAATAAAACAACCTACTTTTCTAACATACACTTAATTGCAGTCCATAGAACACGTTCACCCCCACCCCCACAATTACAATAAGGATGAAAGAACCCAACAATCTTGTGATTGGCTGGAACACCATATTTCTCCATCAAATCACGGTGCATAACGTGTTTTCGATGACGGATAAACCATTTAATTGCGAAAATAATAGCATATACAACTAACAAAAAAACCAACAAGGTCTAAAAGAACTAATAAAATGACCAAATTACCATCATCTTTAAAGAAGATAATTCCCTAACAATCAGTTGCAGACGACAGAAGTCTTTGTATATGCTAAAAAATAAAGATAATACATTAAATTAAGAGCTGCAGTCTGTTTGAGCAATTAACTATTAGTCATTAATTAAATAATTAAAATCCAGCTTCATTAGTTTAATCTAAGCAGTGTGTAGTGTCATGGATTTCCATCCAGAAAAGTTGCACACTGATTTGTCATGTTGAAACTGTCAATGTGTACTTAAACAGAGCAAGACTTTCCTTGGAATTCCAGAAACGCTTCTTCGAGAAGCATGAGAACTAAGTTTAATTGAACACGAGGGCTGCCCTTAGTAATCTAATGGTAAGAATAATGTATTAAGACATAAAACAAACAGGTTGGCAACAGCACATATTTACTGAGCACAGCTAATGTGAGTAAGAAGTGGTAGCAGAGTGAATAAAATCATTCTTATTGAGAATCAACCCACACCATTGACACCGAGTCACACATTAATTCTCATCTCTATTATCTGATAAGAAGCATGCTGTTTACAATTCTTTTAGTACGAATCAAGAAGGAACTACCTCCTTAAAGTGAACAAAATTCCTGTGCATCTGACTAGCCACTTTGAGGACTGTAGGATTGTGATGTCATCACTGTATCCAAGACCGATTAAATAGTACTTGACAAAATTATTATTCACTAGCTTCATATGATCTTTTTACAATATGCAAACTGCTCAAGTGGAAATTAGATTCCATCCAACTACCGATAAAGGGCACATTTTCCGAATTCTTGTCCTCGTTGTTTTGACGCCTGGTATTGGGACCCAGCGAAACATATTGTTTTCAGAACTCACTTCCTAGAAAACGTCAGCAGAGATCTTTATAAATGTATCCCTTAGTGATGGACTCTTGGCAAACGTAATACACAAGCAACCGACAAAAATATTGGGACCCGGAATAATTCTCGACGAAATCGAGATATTAGTCTGATTTTCTTCAAAGTGATGTGTTCACATGGTAGAGACTTGGGTAGTGCTGTAATACCCTATAAAGTACTGGCATATCAGTATCCCAAGCATTTAAACATAATCACTGCCTAATGGTTGCTTCTTGAGTTCATTATAGCGAGTGAAAAGCTGGCTAAATTAATCTATCGCCTTGACCTGACATATTTTTTCCACTTCTTCCTACTAGATCGGGATAACTCAGAGAACATGACAGGCAAGTAGAAAAGTCAAGAACGAACAAAATACCGGGGCATACAGGCTTTCACATCGAGTCACCGATTCTTGAAACCTAGGTTACAATAACCGTTTCTTTAAACTGGTGATGACTAAAGCCATAGACAGCTAAAACGTACTTAATTTACTAGTTATTTTGCATGAAAAATTCCCAAGCCCCCAACTTTGGGGAAATCTCCAATGTTTGGGGAAATTTTGGGGGTTTTGTGACATTTCCCCAAAATTTACTATAGCGGCTTCCCCAAAAACTGAGAGCTTGGGTTACATGTTCAAAATAACCAGTAATTTGAAGTTTATTGTCATATCTTGGACATTTGTAACCTTACTACAAGAGAAAATCAAACCAAGTGAGAAAGTGTTTCTTATTCTATACACAACATGTCTCAAAGTTAACTATTAGGATAATTTCTTGAACTAGATACCTGGTTCGACAAAATTTACGGTGTCGTTCGTACTGATGAAATCAAAAATATGACGAAACTAGGTGTGTATATACTTCCACTACAAAATCATCGCAGCTCTCTTTGACCAGCCTGATAAACTTTCTCCAAACGAAAGCAGGCAATCATCCACATTCAAATGACCCTGCAACATCAACCTTTAACTGTTTGTTCTTTGAGACCAGTGTCTGTGTAGCGGGAGGTTGTTGGCTACGTATGACGACTTCAAACTACTTTGAGCCAGTAAGAAAAGTGTTCGGTTATGTAGGAATTTGTAATAAAAACAAATGAACATTCGATTAACGAGGAGTTTTGTCACGAATAACGAATCAAGCTAAAATCATCCATGATGTACAAATGCTCGGTGGTAGTATAGCGAAAGTCAACAAGAGCCTAAATCTGATTAATTTGTCCATATGTAATGGTGCTGACCCACAAACAAACAGTCCTTGAAGCTGAACATGCGTTATTTGAAAGGATATCCGTTCAACACTTAACACTTGTAGAAGATCAGGAATGGTGAATGTAGAACACTTTGTCGATATAGCACGGCTCGTCTATGCAGGCGTGGTAACTCTATACAACCTACTGCTTTTCATATTGAATACGTTATTTTCTTCCTAGCCCAAATGTATTTTTCAGAAGGCCCTAGCAGTCACCACCGACTACCAGTAGAACGAGTCAACGTAGACAATTGTGTGACTTCATGTGAGGTCTGATAAATCAGGTAATCTCATAATGGCAGGTTTACAGTTTTTGGATTACGTCTTATTCTGGTAGCGAATATAAATGCATTTAATACTTGCCTAGATATCATTCTTACACATATACTTTACTTTGCCAGGAACACATAAAGTGACCTCTGTAATACCCACAGAACTATGGTAGTCACCGAGAATTATTTACTAAGGATTAGTGATTAAAGTGCTTTTAGGTGGGACTTATTGCGAAGTTGTATCAGTCGCTCACTTGGTTAAAGGGAACTATGAACAATATGATGCATTTTAATAGTTTCTCCCCTTATCTTATTATACTGGATGTACATTAAGAATGTAAGGCCGTTGAGAAGTTGGTGAGCCCTAAGCGAATCATTCACTAGGCAGGTCGCATGGTGTCCAACAATTTATCGATTTTCTTCAAGGTTCTGAAGGCCAACATCAATTGTATGCCATGCGCAGGCGCATGCGGCAGTGGTTTCCCCTTGCATTTTTCTAAATAGTCAATTATCTTTTCTGTAAAGAGAATTTATTACAGCTAGTAACTTAAGAAGTTGATTCGGCTGGTAATCCTGATGGCATAACACGGATTAAGCATACACCACAATGCGTGACTTCGACGAAAGCTAAGAAGTTATATCATCCCCTTTCACCTGGGAAGACTTCCGGTCTTAGGCAAAAAACACCTGCGTTGGTGATCTGCAAGAGCTTCCAGTGAGCTAAATGTGGTTTGTTTTTGATGCGATTATCCTTTTGGTTTAACACCTTTGAACATACCCAGAAAGGGTCACATTATTCCTATGGTAAGGCGATATAACGTGATCTTTTTACAGATGGGATCCTAATTATGCACTGAAAATAGTTTTGATTAATTATGAAATCCGTCAGCTATTCATGGGCTCGTAATAGTAATTATGTGTTATTGGCCACAGAAAATCTACGAGTCGAAAAACCTAGATAATCACAAAAAATTATTCAGACCAATTTCCATTAATATCGAGGACTTACAGAACTATTTATTTTTGGGGTATATTTACCGCTACAGCTCACTTCCTGTTACGGGAGAACTGAAGACATTTGTCTGATTAAAACCTTTTTTGTATATTAATAATTTTACTGTGTTTTGGATGTATTTGTTCTACTTAACTTTTGAACTTATTTGTTTATATCATTAATTTCGGACATTTTGGTTTCTCTTTGTCATTGGTTTGGTATTTTGAAGTTTTCGCTCCGGTAACCTACAAAATTGAAGGTTTGTTTTGTAGTTGTTATAATTATTGTTGTGAGAACGACATTTGGGTCGACTATTTATAAATCACGAATAAACTTTGGTATCTAATATGAATTTGGTCCTATTGTTAATGTGGGTTCGTGAATTGCAAATAGATCGACATGTCGTACTTCAATAAAGGGAACTAGCAAAAACTTGGACGTGACACTTCCCTCTAGTGGGATAGTGATGACCTTAGGACATGGCCAGCCAGAGTTTGGGATCTGGTGAATTTATTGTTGGTACACATTCTTCCCTGATATAAGAAACCATGTGGTACATAATAAAAATCAGAAAAGTACAACGAAAATTTTGATTCATCGCAAATTTCATCGGTTTATTCATCTTTCCCTGCCATCCTGGAAAACAAAACGGAATTGTGAGTACATGGCGAGAATACACTCGTACATGCGTCAGTATGTAGGGTTGTGGTCTACATGATTTTAATACATTTATCTTTGCTACCATAATAATCGACCTAATCCCAAAATTGTAAGTTCGTCATGATGTGACTACTTAATCTGCATAGTCATACGTAGAAGTCACATTATAGTCTACGGCGACGAGTCCTATCGTGATAATGGGCAATATGACATCCAAAACTTCTGAAAAACACACTTCGAACTGGGGGGGAGTAACATATACGACAGAACAACAAGACGTTACATGGTGTAACAACGCCAGCACGACCGAGTCATGCCACTTCGATTAATCGTTCCTGCGTTGCTGCTATGGCCTTCTCTTAGTGTTACATGTTAAATGTAAATCTTTCCACTATCTATACGCTGAGCTTCGAAGGCCCCCTAATGCCCTGGTACGGCCGAGAGTGGGGATAGTCCGCTCTCCCTCTCGAAATGCTCTCACATGGCCACGCGTATATGCCCTCTGCCAGGGAAGTCCTACTCACTGCCTTCTCGTGGCGGGGGTGTTGTTTAAGGAAATGAGAGGAAGAAAAGCGAATATCCTGCGCTTTAACCGGATCACAAACCAATGGTGCACATGGGCTCCAGTATCCTGCGAGAACAAATGGTGTGAGATCCATTTCGAATGTTTTGTGTTGGTGAAAATCCCTCCATGTATATACTTGTACTTTGTTTCTATCGATCCCCTTAGTTATACATTGTTGTCTTTTGATTACATTGAATCGTTAATACTTGTATTTTTATTATAGTTTTCGTTTTTCTTACGCATTCACTAAGTTTGTGTTTCTTCCCGAACTGCATCTGTGTTGTTTTACTTGACACTTGTTCTTGGCGGTAGCCATATTGACTTGCTCCTCCTTTTGTGTGTGTTCTATCCAGTCAGGATAGAATAACGTTCATTTGTTGTGACTGGTAATTCCCCCTCATCTTCTATCAACTTCTTTATTTATTGTAATTTAGATTTGATTGATTGAACAATTATTGGTTGAACAGCCGGGTGGTAATATTTGTTTAGGTAACGATTTACATTCAAATTTATGATGAATTATAGAACCGCTATTTACCCGATTTTTTGCTTGGTATAATAATGCAAAAGATCGGAACAAACCAAAATGTTCTGTGGTGCCCTATGTGCGGTAATCGTTAAAGTGTTCTGGAAACCATACTCTTCTTCCAGAACGCGTTGTCTTTTGCCGTGTGTCAGATACCACCGTAGTTTCATCGTGATTGTTGATACCTGGTGAAATATCGTGATTTCGAGACTCGTGTCCTTCGGTTGTACCGAAGGAAACTCTACATACATATGGTTTCTTTCCTTAATATGCAGCCTTGAGGCGATCGACCAGTTTATAAATCACAACTCATAATACTCGAGTCCTAACATTAATATATGAAGATGTTGAAAAATCGTTATGACTGGCTTGTATAATGCTGAAGAGTCTGTATTTTGTTGAAGATAGCCGGTTATTCAGTCGAATTTAAGTCTACGGCACTGTATATACATCTGTCTGCGCTTCTATAGTAATAAATACTTTCTGCAGATTGTGAACTTGCCATTATGTGATTGCCTGATTTATCTGAACTCTTATGAAGTCACATCATTGTCTACACTGACTCGTTCTACTGGTAGTCGGTGGTCACTCCTAGGGCCTTCTGAAAATATAATATATAATAACATTTTGGCTCACTTTTGTTCCTTGAGATGGATGGTTTGGTGGTGGGGCTTTATTAATTCTTCGGAACGACGTCATCAGCACAAACTTCGGATGGAAGTGAAGCGTTGGATTTTCTCCACATGTGGTTCACAGCTTTTCCTGTAAAAATCGGTGTTAATTGGTTCAGGTTGACAAGATCGATGTCTACGGGGAAAGCTGTGAACCACATGTGGATAAATTCGAACACATTACTTCTACCCGAAGTTTGTGTTGATGATGTCATTCCGAAGAACTACTGAAGCTCCACGACCTAACCATTCATCTCAGAGGACAAAACTCCCTCAAAAACATCCAAATGAACTACAGATCTTCGCCACTATCTCAGAAAATAACATATTTAATATGAAAATCAAGGAGTTGTATAGAGTGGTCACGTCATTTTAAATGTATATCTTCTCAATTAACGTGTGTTCGGCTCCAAAGGATAATGTGGTTAGAAGTCAATGTCACTATGATTCTTCAAATGTTTCTGACCATACATGTTGGTTTGTCTACCCAAATAACCGGTGGGATTACGCAGTATACCGTGATGGACTAAGTGGCTTAAATTAGAATTTTCACGCGAAAATGGCTGCTCATCTATTGATAAATTTAACATTTAGCTAAACAGTATGTTTTTCGTAAAATACACAGTGTGCGACATTGAAGTTATATAACCACCATATTTTGGACGCATGCGAAAAGATCATGGCGAAATAACATGGATTTCATGTATGCTAACGGTAGTAATGGACGCTTGTTTATTTAAATAAGTTGGATAGTGGAATTCGTACCAACAAATATGTATGCAAATTAAAACTTTAGGGAATTCTTAGGAGCTCCTAAGAACATGCACAAGTTTGCATAACCCTTATGGCATATAGATAAACCGCAAACAAATTGTTCGTGATATGCTTGCAGTTACTAAGCTGAATCGTAATATGAGCGAACCGAAAGTGAATCTTAGTAAAAAACAGTGCTCACCAATGTGACTAACGTCTCGACGAGAGTACCGCCACCATTTTAAAAAAGTCTCTTGAATGAATATGATGAAGTTTGAAATGATCAACATCGT